CTGTGGAGGGGGGCAAGATCCTGAGTCCTGCCCTGAGCCCCAAACTGCCCCCCCCTCCGTCTGCCCCCCCTCCCCTCCCGCTTTGTGCTCCACAGGGCAGCCGCTCTGGCGCGTGGAGCACCTCCTGCTGGTGACGGACGAATACGGCACCATTCTGGGCTTCGATTTCCTGCTGGGGGGCTTCCTGGAGACAGCTGGGCCGGAGCCCCTGGAGCCCCGGGCCCTCGCCCTTCTCTGCTACACCATGTTCTGCCCCCTGGGCTCGGGGGAGCCCCGCCGGCCGAAGCTGCTGACGGTGGGGGACCCCGCTTTGCACAAGTGAGTGGGCGGAGGGGGGGGAGAGGCTTGGCGGGAGGGGTCCTCCTCTTCCTCCCCGTCTCTGACTCTTTCCCCTCCCCCCCGCCCCCACTCTGCCAGGTCCCTGGAGCCCCTGCTGGCTCGCCTGGGCGTGCGCATGAGCAAGGGCCCGATGCGGGGCTGGGGCCCCAAGCCCACCTTCTCCTTCCCCACCACGAGGGTGAGGGCCTGTCACGTGTGCAAGCGGCACAGTTTTGAGGGCCAGATCACAGCCTGGTGAGTGGAGAGCGGACGGAATCGCACACGCACACACACACGTATGCACCCTCTGGCTGCAACCTTTGGCCTGAGTTGTGGGGGGTTGGGGGGGGTCCCCTTTCCAGACCCCCAAGGTTTGGGGATACCGGAGGCTTTTAAGGAGAGACTGGACAGCCACGGGGGTCTGACCAGGGGTGGCATTCAAATGGTTCAACAACCGGTTCTGTGGGCGTGGCTTCGTTGGTGGGCGTGGCTTGGTGGTCATGGGACTGGGTGGACATGGCTTGGGGGGGTCATGCGATGGGCTGGGCGTGGCCAACTCAACACCCCTCACAGCGAGGCACGCCTCTCCTCGCCTGGCCTCTTGTGACTGTGGGGATGCTGCAACCGTCGTAAGTGTGAAAAGGGGTCATAAGTCACTTTTTCCCGTGCCATTGTAACTTGGAATGGTCCACTCCACACAAGCCAAGGACCAGCAAAGGAGAGGGAAAAAAACTCCGGAGACGTTCCTGAGACAGGAAGTCTAGTCCTGCCAAGAATGTAATAAGGGTTAACGGAGAGGCAGTTTCTGTAAGCAACCCCAGAATGTTTCCTTCCTGCCTTCCTTACAGGATTAGCCCTGTAAATTTCTTCTAACAAGCGCTTCTCCCAACTGCTTCGAAGGTTAACAACCGGTTCTAGCGAATCGATGTGAACTAGTAGAATCCCACCCCTGGGTCTGACGTGGGACCCCTTCCGAGCCTTGCCCTGCCCCTTCGAGGCCACAAGGGCCAGCCTTGTGTCCCCCCGCCCATCCCTTCCCCTCCCTCGTGCCCAACTCTTTCTTCCCCGCAGCCAGTACTGCCGTGCCGTCTTCTATTGCTCGGAGAAGTGCCGGAAGCTGGACTGGAGCCGCAGCCCCGAGGACATTGGGCACCAGTTTTGGTGCCAGCGCATGGCCGGGTACATGAGCCACGCCCGAGAGCTCGCCAACCTCCCCTTCACCTTCGCTGCCGGTAGGAACCCCCCTCCCCGCTCCAAATCCCAGGGGGGGGGACTGCGGGGGGGGAGGGGGTTCAGCTGTGTTTGCCAGCCTGCCCTTCCCTCCCCAGAGGTGACCAGCGACACCTTCAACAAGGAGGGCTTCCTGCTTGCGCGAGGGCTGACCCGCGGCTACTGGGTGGCCGAGAGCATGCTGGTGAGGGCCCCCGACTACGGTCTGGGGCTGCAGAAGGGCTCCGCCAGGACCCCCGTGCCCTTCCTCCAGAGCGGTGAGTGGGGGGCTGCAAGGGGCAGCCGTCAGGGGGTGCCAGGCGTCAAAAAAAAACGGGCCCAGACACGACGGAGTTCAAGCCGGCAACTTTATCGCTTCGTGCCTGTTGCCCGTTGCGCAGGAATCTTCCTCGCCGTGAGAAAGGAGAAAGGGAGCGTCCGTGGCATCCCACGGGAGCCGGGCCCTGCACCTCCGTGTCGACATGTCCCTTCCAGACTAATAGCCTGCTTGACTCCCCTCCCCTCGTCCTCCCCACTGGGACAGTCTCACCCCCCCAGGCTCTTCCTTCACAAGCTGCGGTTCAAGGTGCTGGCCGCGGCTGCTGTCCGTCCATCCGGTCCGGCCGGGCAGAGTGGGCAGCCCTCACGCACACCTCAGTCAGGTTGAGCTGCCCCTCTGGGCCCGCTTTCTCCCTCCGGCCTTTGGGCCAGAGTGGGTGGTGGCCGGTCTCTTGCACACTCTCTTGGGCTACGTCTCACCTGGGGCGTCTCCTGGCCTCTCTGGGTGGGGCACCTGGAACACCTGTGGAAAGGAGGGTGCTGGCTCTTACACACTCTCTTGGGCTACGTCTCACCTGGGGCATCTCCTGGCCTCTCTGGGTGGGGCACCTGGAACACCTGTGGAAAGGAGGGTGCTGGCTCTCGCACACTCTCTTGGGCTACGTCTCACCTGGGGCGTCTCCTGGCCTCTCTGCGTGGGGCACCTGGAACACCTGTGGCTGAGGGATTCTGGGAGTTGAAGTCCCCGAGTTTTAAAAGTCGGAAGGAGGGGATGAAGTGGGTGGAGGGGGACGCGCAGCCCCCTCCCCACTGTGAATAAGGAGGAAGGGGCCCAGCCTGGCCCACCAAGAGTGGCAAAAAAAAACCTCTCGCCCCTCCCCCCAGGAACCCCTCTCCCCATGGGTGGGGGGAGGGGGGGCGAGGCAGGGGGTCTCCTCACCTGGCCCAATTGGGGCTGGGGGCTTTCTCTCCCTGCAGGGAACCCCTTCGAGGCGCTCAGGCCGGAAGGAGGGACGGCGTTGCCCCCAGCGCCCCCCGAGCCCCCGATGCCCCGGACGTTCTTCGGTGGGGGGGGGGGAGGGGAGGGGAGCATGGCCCCGTTTCCCCTCGCTCTGCTTCCCCGGACCCTCCCCCTCTGACCGCTCTCCCCCTCTCTCCCCCCTTTGCCCCCCCCTCCCCAGCTTCCTGGAAAGAGTACTACCAGTGGCGGGGGCTGCCTCTCGGGGCCCCCCTGGCCGTGCTGCTCACCTACCCCCTCACCACCTACTACATCATCACTCAGCTGGCCCCCCAACACTGTGAGTGGGGGGGG